ATGACCTTATTGTGCAAAGGTACTGTACAGTGTAATATACTCAAGCAGAATGTTAGATTAATATAAAATGTTATTCTATTCAAGAACATCTTCTGCCTTAATGCTTATTCATTTGCTGTTTTACTACAGTAGTGTATCTTAAAAATATTTTGTTATTAAAGTTATCATGTAAATAAACAAATATGATATATTATAAAGAAAAATGCTTTAATTTGTTTCTTTACCAAAATATCACTTCCTTTTTTCTCTTGGCTTGTAATTCAAACCAAGAAAACATCCATCAGAAAATGTTAGAGGTGCACCAATACACTGGTCCGATGAACAGAAAATCCACTTAAAATGTGTTATATTCATGAGCTGTAAAGCTATGATGTATAATTAGTTCTTTGTTGTTGTTATTATTATTCAATACCATCACATGACATGTAGGCCACATTTTTCCATGATCCATATACATTATGACAGTCTTTTCCTTTTTATTTTATTCTATTACAGCTTCTGGATAACTTCATATTATACACAGAAAGATGGGCTATGTTTGGGTCTGGATAGCAGATATATGGATGAATAAGAGCTAATTTTTGGAGATTTGCTGTTAAAAGATTGTGACTTTATATGAAACAGTAATTTAATTGTGTATGTTCTAATGGCATTTTTTCTGAGGCTCTTTTTATTTGCACATTGGGGAAACACTGCAATAAAGAGTGAATCCTTCCAAATAATGCTTGTACAGTGGCATTTACTTCGACCCAGGTAAAAGAAGGTTTGTATGAATTGTAAATAGTAAACTTGTCAAGAATATCTAATGTAGCATGTATGGAAATCAAATTTTCCAGGACCCAGTGGAGCTGGGTTTTAAAGAAAGGGGAAAGAATATCTTTAGATATTTTGTCTAAGATGTGGTAAGACAATCTGACTTGGCATGAAGGCAAATGAGTTGAGATAAAGGGTGCTATCAATACAGAACTAGCAGAAGTCACACCAAACTATATTACACAAAATAGAAAGACACTGGCTATGGCTACTGTAGTAGTTCAGGGTGCTAAGTCCCTCTGAAGTTTGGAATCATACAAAGCACCCAGGGGCACACAAAATTAATGCTGCATTCATTAAGTACAATGGTGAGTGAAGGATGACAAAACTGTTCATAAGAAACTAGTTTTAAGTAACATATTTTATTAACCAAGGTGGTATATGCACATTCAAATAATTCAGAAGAATTATTCTGTTTTTTTCCCAGTAGAAAAATTTACTTGGAAAACCGTGAACAGACACTGGAAGGACTGAGCCACTGAGGACCAGAGAGCCTATGGTGCTCATTCTGGCCTGCCAGAGGACCCCAGAGCACACAGCCCATCATGCTTTGCAGGTTCTTCTGTCTGCCTAGAGACAGGTGACAGACAACTTACTGCTGGGTCTGTGCAGGGTGGTGCGGGGGTGGGGGGCAGCTGTTTGCTGAGTCTGGGAATAGGGTGCACAATCTGTCAGGTCAGGGAATGGAGGGGATGGTTCTGCTGGGCCCATTTATGGGGCAGGGAAGAGGGTCTAATGGGGGTCTGGTGTCTAATGGGTCCATGCGCTGGGAATCCCAAGGTCTGCCAGGTCTGGGTACAGTAGCGGTGGATTGGCCAGTTCTGGTCCAGCCTGAGTGGACCCCGGGCCATTCAGGTCCACAGTAATACAGGTGGGGTACAGCTGCGGCTTGGTTTTGGACCCAGACCTAGACTTCTCATGTAAAGGGGAGAGAGCTACCTCAGCTTTCCCAGCCCCAAAGCACTCCAGGGGCTTGTTCTGCTCCCTGCTCAACTGGACCATTAGAGTCCAGACAGAGTGATGCACTGTCTCCCTGCACCCAAGGAGGGAGGCAGGAGCAAAGCATGCTGGGATGAGGGAGTTTCTCTCAGAAGGGTACATGCATAGATGGTTCAGTCTCCCAGGGGAAACTCTCCCAGGATTGATTTAATTCTGGTTGTTCCCAGGTTCATTTTCTCCTGGAGTGGCCATTTTTGCTTTGGGAGAAAAATTCTGAATGTCTGCATACTTCTGTTTTCTACCGGGAGAACAATGATTCTCCTGGTAGAAAATGTTCAGTCTGCACATGGTCCAAGTTGGATGAAGACCTTAAACCCTAAAGTTATTTTACTGTGATATCAGCTTTCCATTTTTTCTGCTACTTATTGACAAGTAGATATTATACTTCAGCTAATACTAGTAAAAAGGGGTAATTCCAGCCCAATTTTGAATTCTCTAAAGCTCAGCTGAAGTCTAAGGGGCTGCAACAGAATCAGGACAGAAATTAAGCCAGAGTGTGCCTGATAACTGAATTTAATTTGTATAAACAAACAAGCTTTATCTACAATATTCCTTCATGAAATCCCAGGCTTTGACTCTGCATGTTCTTTAAAGACCCCATTTATACACATTTGAATGCCTATTTAAAACAAAAAAAAAACCCGAGAAAGCTTTCCCATGGAAACCACACAGAGATGTTTTACTTCACACGTACACCCCAAGCAAGTGTGCTAACTTTTCATAATTTACTATATTTTCTTATTGTAGCTGCATATTTTAAGAAATGTTTTTGAAGAACCAGTTCACATGTGAGGCAAACATTTTGTGTACACTGGGAAAATCAGTGGTGTTTCAAATGTGTTACCTGCCTTTTTTTAATTAACACATTCTTATCAATAACCACTTTATCCCTATTGCAGAGAGACAGTGACACTAAAAAAACCTGTCAGGTGGTTGTGATAAAAGCATGTTTGCTTGCTCTAAGTAACCCTTCTAACACATTTTTAAGCACTGCTGTCTACAAGCAGAGAGTGGATTTGCTTGCATACAACCTCCCACAAAACAAGTGTATTACAATGTACAGGCGGGAAATAAGTCATAATGATGCTTCCTAGTTATAATTTATTTTATTCTTTTAAACATAAAACATGGTATTCTGGCATTGGCACGGAAACACCAAACAAAAACCCGAAGTTGACAAAAATAATGTGTTTGAACAGGAGACAGCTCTCCCAAGGAGTCAAACAAAAAAACACCAACATTCTACCACAATGTGTCATCCTGAATCCTAGATATTCTCCATATTATTTCAGGCATTATAAACTCCAGTTATACACTGTTTACTTTCATCCTCTTCAAATAAAAACTTTACAATCATGCAATTTTGCCCGTTTTTGCAAAATGTAAGTATTTTCATTTGAATTCCTTGTTAAAATGCCTTCTGCAAATTTGTCATCTTTTGATTTTGACATTCAAAATTCTTCATTCTGAGATGCCATTTTATTTATGCTTTTTGATTTCAACATATGCTGTAGGTTTACTTTCAATCTGTAGACTCTCAGTTATTGCTGTTTCAACAGTTTTAGAATTTGCAAAATCCAAGTACAGGGCCTTTGCCCATATTGCTTTACTGGGGGGGAAATTTGTGTTGCTGATTCACTGCCTTAATGTTGTCTTATAATAAGTATTATATTTTAGTTTCTATCTTTAGTCTTTTGCATTGTTCTGGGTTGTTATATTATAGAACTTAGATTCTTGCAGTAAAGAAAAGTAGTTCATTAACATTAATACTGTACTATGTATTCAAATATAAGTGTCTTGCAAACTCAATTTACTGCATGCAGGGACTCCAGCTAACAGGAGTAACTGAAAAGGCAGCCAAAACAGGGACTGCTGAACTGGAGGGGAGGAGATAAATAGGGACCAAGTTGGGGCAACCCTCTCCCATCCCCGCATCTTCCTTGACCCACAACTGTAAGAGGAGGGGAATTGCATATGAAACTAGGATTCAAGTTATACACCCCTGCTCCACTCCTCCTCTTTTGCAATGTGACCTTGGAGAAAAACTGCAGAAGAAACAGACTGAACTGTTTTACCAAAAGGGAACTGCTAGGGCTAAGTACATAGTCAAAAAGCTGGAGACTGAATCGATTCAGTCTTTGTAGGTTAGTCTACGCTGCGTAGACTGAACCGATAGGCAAGTGAACAGACATTCACTTCTGATTTCAGAAATGCAGCCACATGCCTGCAGTCACCCAGGCCAGAAGCTGGGGGGCATTAGAGTACACTTCCCTGCTCAGCTGGAGCAGCCAGCTTCAGCCAAAGTTAGTCCGCCCACTCTGCAAGGTGAGGGGTGGCTTGCAGGGGAGGTGCAAAGCATCCTGGGATGCTGGGGAACTGTGAGTTAACTTGAATCTGGAGAGTATCTGGGAGCAGGAGTTCAATAAACCGATTTAACCTAAATCAGTTAAGTCTGATACTACATCCATCCAGGTTTATCTTAAACTGGCTTTGGTCATTTTGAAAGCAGTTTATGTGCACTGGAATTCTGTTGTATTACAGATTTGAACCAGTTTCCATGCACTTATACTGGTTTATGTGTAATCTCTGTCTCTAGCCTAGGTGTTCAGAGAACTTCCAGCAGTTTTGCCCTGTGCTGACCAGCTGTTTGTTCCAAATGTCTTCCCTTCCTCTTCCCCATCTCTCATCACTTCATCTCAGTGTCTCCCATACCCGTCTCATAATCTTTTCCCCCTTACCATGTCCCTCATATCCTTCTCTTTGATGTCTCTTCTCTCTCCTCTCCTATTTTCCATTGTGTTGATCCCCTCCTTGCTAAATCAACCCACCTTCCACAAATGTGTCGTGAAGCTAACATACCACTTGCTGTTATTACCCTGTTCACTTTGCTTACATGTTACATGCCTTTCCTCACCTCATGTCTGTCTTGTTTGCTTTTTAGATTATAAACTCTCTAGGGTAAGGAGTGTCCTCTCCTCTGTTAATACAGTGCCTACATTGGCCCTTTAATACTACTATAAAAACATTAATAATATTAAAATATCTAAGTTACATAAATATCTGTAAATATTAAAACTGTAATGTAAGACAGAATGCCCAACATGCATAATCAAATCTGTAACTCAATACTTAACAGAAGACCACCAAACACAGTGGAACTTCTCGCATGAAATAACAGTCTGACTTACTTTGCTCGCTTTGCCATTTCATTGCCATCCCAGCGTGGGCTGTAAGGGTAATTCTTCTGGGCCTGGGAGTATAGCTGTCCACTATTAGTGAAGTGATAGACTGACTGAAATGTTAGAGTTGGCTGGTCTCGAGGAAAGTAAAGGGGTAGGTCAACTGCAAAGATAGTTAAAAAAAAAAAAAAAAAGATGACATGAGAGAGATACTTTTTCTTATTCTTATCTTCATTGTGAAATATATCATTTCTACCTGCCAACTCAAAACTCATTTTAAGAAACGTTTCTAATCAGATCTTAAATAAAAAAGAAGGTGATGTGTTATTTTAATATCCCCTTTGGTAATTCTAACAAACATGTGTTCCATTATGCTGTTGTACGTCCTGATTTACCCATAATGGAGGTATTTTATTTTACAAAGCAAGTAGTCAGAATAAACATGTTTAACTTGCATATTTACAAGTTAATCACAGTGCTTCCAAGAGTTCAATCTGATCCTTTGTCACAGAAGAGCTTAATGTAGTGAAGAATTTAAAAAAAAATTCTAGTTTAATTTCTACTTTCAAGAATTTTAAAATATATTCTGTTAAGAAATAAAGTAATGCTGCCCTTTTATGGAGCCTTTCATTCAAGAAGTTTAGAGTGCTTTATCAGCCTTAACCAATCCTTTTGACATTCTTGCAAGAGAAGCAAGTAGTAGCAACCCCATTTTCCAGATGGCCAAGCTGAGGCTTAGAGAAGTTAAATGACTCAGTAAAGGCTATAAAGTGAGCTAATTACATAATACAGAACAGAACAAAGTAATCACAATTTGCATTCATCTGTGTTAAGTAAACAAATACAAAGCCACTGATATAAAAATGTTTTATTCGTAAGCCTCCAAAAATTTGATCCTCTCTCTTTTAATTCCCCTTGCTTATCACTCGAAGGGCAGGAAACTGTTTCAAGATTAGCCAGGTCTGTTAGAAACAAATTGGCCTATAACAGTCAGTATTCCAAACACTTATTTATTTGACCTTTTCATTGCCAAACTTTTTTTTTTAAGTAGAACATTTTCTTGGGTCTCCTTTTAGTTCTATTAGCCTCCAGAAATCATCATTTTTTTTAACCGTTTTTACTCATAAATTAACCTGATCCCAAACCTAATAACATTATAGAGGAAATTTACATTGTCTACAATAGGTGGGATTTGCCCCTCAAATCACACAAACCATATTTAACTTCCTCAAACTATTCATTTCACTAACTTGAAAAGAGGAAAGGACACCTGAGGTAGAGGAGTATTTCTCTCAAGTTTTTCAGCCATTCAGCCATTGCTAACAAGACTACAATAATCTGGTAAAACTGTAGCTCATTCATGTGAGTTTATGGTCTAAGACAGGGTTAGGCAACCCCTGGCACAGGTGCCAGGCCATGGCAGCCAAAAGCATTTTGCTTGGCATGCACACCTTGGGACAAACAATGGGGAAGGGGCTGGACCTGCATTGCCACAAGGATTGGGCCCCTCACAGCTTCCATGCCATCCATCCCTGGCACACTAACATCTTACAAGTCAAGGTTGTGGGTGCTTTTGGCACTTTGCCCAAACATGTTGCCGACACCTGGTCTAAGAATTCTTAATTTGTGACTTTGCAGTTCTCCCTAATGAGAAGTTGAGCATTTGAGTCAATAAAGTGGGATGTAGAGCCAAAAGAGGAAACAATCACAGACTGGAGAATCACTTGGAATGAGAGAAATTAGAAGTGGAAAAAGCTTGTAATATCATCTAACCCATATCCATGGCATAGCACAGTTGTTCCCTCCCATATATTTGCTAGTGCTATATATACTACATTTTTAAATGTTTTAAGGTGTGAGGCTTCCAGTATTTCCTTTGCCTATAAGATACCAATGTCAGAAAGATTTTTCTGGTTTTCAGCCTAAATTGTCTTTCTCTCAGTTTGATACTATTGTTGCTCTCCTTTCTTGGTTTACATACTTTTTGAATATTTGTCCTCTTTTATCCAAGCCTTATCCCCATATCCACAAAATCAAGCCCTCCAAGCACAGCAATCTATCTGTTCCACATGTTAGTGAAAATGAGTTGCACAAAACTGAATGTGGTATTCCAGCTGTGGGCACAGACAAAAACAGATCATTTAAAATATTGGTGTCTGGCAGCTTAGTGACCCAACATCTGAGTTTTATTTTGTGATAACGCTCTGTATGAACTGGGGATTCAACCCACATGGCAACTTACTTGATGCATTTTAGAGATAATGTCGTGAGCTGAGTTTGATCAATTTGGGTGCAGACCTTTACTGCGTTAAGGAAAAAGACAAAGATTAAATATTATATCAAAGTCCTCCTTGTAACACGGTTAAAGAATAATAATCCCTGAAAACCACTGCCATACAATAAAACATTTATCAGCTAGCAAGTTATTGGTTCCTCCTCTCACAGATACTACTTTATGCCAAGGAATCAAAGGGACTGCTCTGTAGAGAGCAATGTAAACCACGGGGACTGGATCTCAGTTTTGAAGTTGTAAATGTACTTTGTTCTTAGTACTGTGTACTTACATTCCACTTAGCGTAGTTTTTATCTACCTTTTCTGTTACAATAATTCCTTGGGGGGGCGGGGTGGAGGGTAGAAAAACAAACATTTTACATTTGCCTGTTTAACTGAGCATAATGGATAGCAAACTTTAGTGATGAAGTTAAACAATATCAGCTCTACTTTCATTTATCTTCTTATAGGAAGCATTTCAGTTCTTTGTTAATAGTTTCAAAATCAAGCTGTCAAAGAGTCAGTAATAGTGTTTTTCTCCTTCAATTAACTAAACCAAAAGCCTGTTTTTTAAGAAAAAGCCTCTTACACTAGAACACTGGTTCTCAACCTTTTTAGACTCTGGGCACCTTGCGATAGGCTTGAGGTACCCCTTGGAAAATGTCTGCTCATAAATTTCATTTTTTGATTATAGAAAAATATTAGAGCAATTCTTCTGTTGCAAAGAACTCGGAAAGACCCTAACAGGTAAGAATGATTTCAGCACTCTGGGATTCCTATTTTAAATCCTTGGGCACATCCACACACGCAGGCACATGCACTTGAAGCAGCGGCACAGATTTGTGCTGGAGATTTGTGCCTCAGCACATGTGCCTGAACATGCACTTTGGTGGGGGCAAATTGTGCCACTTGGGGCAAACTGACCCTGCCCAGCTCTTCCCAGATCTTCAGCCAGGGCAAGCTAGAGGCTGGGGTTAGTGCCTGTGGTGGCCCCAGCAGTATAAAAAGCTGCCCTGGCAAGCATCTCAGAGCTATTTGCCCTCAGGACCTTCTGAGACCCGGCCAATTGGTATTTGGGGACACTAGCTCCTTGTGCCAGCTGTGGACTGATGAAGAAGCCCTACCCTACAGTGGCCCCTACACCCTCTACCCACTGCAGCAGCCTGGCTGTGACCTGGTGGCACTTATGACAACAACCGCCCCTTGGACCTGCGGCCCCATGGCTGCATGTCTGCCAGACCGGGACGGGGACTGCACAGCTGCCTGGGCTGTGATATGGGCACTGTAGCAGAGCCGCCTACGCTTCTGGGCCAGCTGACAATGGACCAAGGTCGCACAGTTGGTCTTTGGGTGGCACTATTTATTTATTTATTTAGCTAATGCTGGTGTTTCCTGTTTAAAAATTGCAAATTCTCTGACAAATAAAACCCAAATTCTCTCATTAAAATACCCAAAATCCACATATCCACATTCTTCCATGACTGAAATGAAACTTCACTATATATATATATATATAGAGAGAGAGAGAGAGAGAGAGATCAGTTGTTTTATTGACATAGTTACAATTTTAAAGCAAGTTGGAAGTCTACCAGTGCCGTGTTCATAATAATAAAATAAATTCTAAATATCTATGCATTTTGGCATTTGCTTCTGGTTTATCATAGAAAAATCAGAGCTGCCCCTGCCCCCTTCACTCACCAGGATGTGGTGGACAGCTGCAGCAGGACCCACAGGTGCTTTGTGGTGCTGAGTAGCACTGATATGCCAGTGCCCTGCCCCTGCACTCAACCCTCACTCCCAACACACAACCTCCCTAAGTGCCCCACAGCCCCTGCTTGCCCCACACTCGCTCCCTCCTGGCAGCAGTTCCCTCCCAGCACCAGGACATGGGTCCAGCAGCAGCTGTCCCAACCACTGCTTTGTGGCTTTGAGCAGTGCCAGCCCTTGCTGTTCTGATCCCTGTGCCCAGGCCCCAGCAGTCCCCAAGCTCTTCCTGGGAAGCCCTTGATTGGAGCTCAGGGAATGGGCTGGGCAAGCCACTTCCCATCCAGGCTGGCCTCCCCCTGCACAGGCTGCTCTAGGGCAACCCTGGGGGGTTTCCAAGCCCAGCTCTGGTGGATGCTCTTACACGGACCAGTTCCCCATTCCCCACCCCCAGCTCTCTCTGTCTTACACACACCCCTGCTGACACCCCTGGCTCATCACATACATCCATAGACCCCACTGCCACCTCAATCCCTGCTCTGTCCACCACTCAACCCTGCTGCCACCTCCACCCCTCCCCACAGCCCATCATACCCCCCGTGTAGTTCCTGGGACCAGGAGCCCCCCCAGCCAAAGCTGCATGTCCCAGCACCAGTGTGGGCACAGGGCCCTGTATCAGAAGGGAGGTTAAAAAGTTAAAGAATATTTTCAGATCAGCAAGTCCTGTCCCGTATGGAGGCCGAGCATGCAGGGTGTGAGATTTGTGGGAGGATGTGCGGTTTGCAGGGGGGCGGGGTGGGGAAGCAGTATGGGGGTGCATGTGGGGTTTGTGGGATAGATTTTGGGAGGTTTGTAGGTAGGTGTAGAGGTGGGTGTGGGGGGGCATGGGGGTTGTGTGGGGTTTGTGGGTGGATTGTGGGGCAGTTCATGGGCATCAGCCCCGCCAGTGGCAGAAGCAGCAACAGCCGGCATCAGGCCCTCAGGGTGCTCATGACTCACTGCAGGCAGAGTCCCCCTGTGGTGCGCGGTACCACCTGAGACCCAGGAGCTTCACGTGGCACAGAGTTGGCCTAGTCTGCTGGCGCATGCCTTCAGAACCAGGCCAGCTCCTACTGCCACCAGGGGCTCCTGGCTCTGTAGGCAGGAGCCACATGCTATCAGGCCAGGCCAGCTCCTGCCTCCACATG